TTTTCATTTTAATCCTTTAATATCGTTTAAGGAAAAACTCAATAGATCTGACTTAATTTATGGCCAAGCACTAATTACTAATTCCCCAGTACCAAATGCTCCCTAACCCAGAGTGCCATTTAAGCTGCTTAGACTTCTCCTTTTTTGCTAATTCGCCATCATTTTAACTGAACCAAATATCTCAGATTGTTGGGAAGTTCTTGCATTGTCCCACAGCTGGAAAAAATCCGGGTCAGCTGACCTAATCTGGGACAGCGCTTCCGTAGAAATGTCAGACATAAATCATTGAAACGCACGTTGGAAGTTCTGCAGCTCAGCTCTTCGCCCACAAAATCAGAGAGCGGAATGGAAATTGAAATTCAAAGAGCATTCCACATATTTAATGTTTTGCACACGCCATTCAAATCCTGTCCAGGACGCAAAAGAGGCCCAGGACGAAAGGAGGCCAGGAAAACGGAGCTGAACTAACAATTTATGCGCTCAGTGTTCGTTATTTATGATGCGAGCAATTTTGAGGGCGCTGCAAGATGCGAGTTTCGGGCGATGAGCGGTGCTGGCACACAAAAAATGGCACAAACTTGCTATAAAATAAATTAATCTGCCGCACAACACTTGTCAAATGGGCGTGGCCCGCCCTACGCCGCTCCTCCATCCCGCCCCTATACATGTATATATAAATATGTATAGTCTGGCTCATTTGGAGCGCCGTCAGCGTCGTAATCACCATCATCATCATCATCTGGAGCATCTGGCAGGGTATTGTCGTCGGTGCTGCTCGTTTGTCCGCGCTTCCTTCCGCTCTCGCCATGTTTTGTTCATCCGCTGCTGCCATTTTTTATGGCTACCATAAGGTATACTGGATATTTTGGCAGTATAAACGAATTTTGAGCTCTTTTAAAGCTATTGCAACTCTATATAATACTGAAAAAGTTTTAACAAACATACACTTTGTTTAAATTAATATGCACATACAAATGGTATACAAAATAAAAGTAGAATGGGATTAAGAGGGATTTGGTCTAAAAGGAGCATGAGCTATAAATAGTACCATTACGTTTAAATTGGAATTAGTCAGATTGGTAGAACATGTGAACTTGACTCACAGTATAAACACAATAAGCGTTATTTTACATTAAAAACAATGTTATAATTATTCTTTTATTTGATCTTTATTTTTATGTAAACATTTCTTTTCCATAAAGTCTAAAAGTTTTGGTTATTGTTAAATTAAATCCAATTAAATGTTAACAAAAAATAATAAAAACTTTATAAAAATTCTTTTAAATGATAGTAAAATTGCAAATTGTATATCGGAGTAAACACAGGGTATTAAACAGTGTTCAAACCTTGCAGACGTTCTCTTCCAGGTTTTCTTTTTCTAGGGGATTTCCTTCAGTGTCAATGCAACCATTGTTTCGCTTGTTTCGACGCTGCTCGTGATTTTTCTTGGCCTTCCCTGGCGGCTCCGCTTTTCCCCATTTCCCCGTTTTCCGCAACTCTTCACACCAAATGTGTTTACTTCTGCGCCATTTATCTTGCTTTGGCGCCTTGCGACTACAATGTGAGAGTGGGACTGAGAGGGAAGAGGTGCCAGAAAGAGATGGCTGGAGGCCTGGCCTTGCCGTGGCTTTCTTTCCGTTTCTATTCGGCTTCTACCATTCTGGCGGGCTCTGTGAATGGAAAAGTCGGCTGGGAAATTCCGAATGCCGCTGTCCTTGTCGCTCATCTGGCCCTTTCTGTCCTCTCGGTAACAATTTAATTTTCCCCGCATAGTTTTCCCGGCGCTGGCTGCGTTTAATGGCAGGCAAATGTTCACCAGACTGATTATACTTTTTCACTCCGCGAATTAAATATGCAAACGAGCCAAGATTTCTGTTGATTACTAGAGCGAAATTTTGGTGACTGCGTACAGAATTGCTTGGCCTACTTTTTGGGGCAGTTATGCAATCGCAGAGAGAGCGACAGCGATGGCACTACTTCCGGTTGGAGTTACCCCAGTTTTCTTGATTAATAATTCATTATTTAAGTGATCAGTGGCACTTGTAATCGGCTTCCTCTTGTCAAAAGTTTCTTATTTAAGACCTCCGGCACACAACTTGACGATTGAGCAAAGACTTCGTCTGTTTAATAGCTGCCACTAAATCGCTAGTTAAACACAACACAAGCAAACTGGCCATAACTTCTACACAAAGCCAGCGGAAGCAAAATGGATCAACTAGAAGCCACTGAACAGCAAACTTCCCTCGCGGCGTTGTTGACAACTCCACACAATGACAAACTGCACAGGAAACAATTAGTCTGAGTTTTGATTTATAGCCTTTTTATAATACAACAATTCAATTTAAATATAATAAATCTTAACATATATATACTTGCATTATGTTGATCTAATCATTGAGGTACGAGCAATTGTAACGGCGCCTGTAGCGACTGGCGAACCAAAAATTCAGCCTGGATGCCTACTTACTTAAAACAAACCTTGACCGAGTGTTGCCACCTGACCCGATTAATCGATATTTCGAACAGCTGACCCAGGATGGTTATGGAAAGTTCTAGACACCTATCGGTCGTCATATGATATATATTTCCCCCAAAAGCCTCGCTGGTATATATCTGATTCCGGTTACGATCTTCTTATTTCAACCTGCAAGTGAGACAGACGTGCCAGCAGCTTACAAATTTCCCTGTGTTGAAAGGCTATAAGCCGAAATATCATATTGTGAGTGGCATCCAATATTCTAAGTGCGATCCAGCAACCAGTGCACTGTGGTTCCGCCAGAGGCCAAAAATCAAAAAAAGTGATAACAACGAATTGAAAAAAATTGAAAGCAAATTTTCTCTAAAATGTTCAAACTTCTTGATGGCAAACCGGTTTTGTCTGGAAATCTAACGGGACTTTATAAAAATAGAATGTAAAGCGTGATCATGTGTACATTCTTGCAGCGCATCTGTACTTATCAAGAATTTTAACAAAACAAAATTGCGCTTCAAAGTGGTCAAACGTTTGATAGAGTGATCCGATTTTCATCATTCAAAATGCATTTTGAAGTTGAAGGTATTTACTTTAAATGTATATATTAAGAATTAAATAAATCCAACAAATTTTTTAGTGAAACTAAAAAAATCGATTTAATATTTTTTGTGTGTTTTGTGAACGTCTTTTTTATGTTTACCTAAAGTTTTAGTTGTGTTCCCCCCCGATTCCCCCATAGATATTATATTCATTGTATTAATCAGAGTTTTTACTTAATAAAAGTGTTTAAGTCAGCTGCAGAAACTTGCAGATGTGTGTGAAACAATCAATAATCTAACGCATATTTTTATTTCTTCAAGGTCAAACTTGTCCAGCAGAGCCCCTGTGTTTGTTTTGTGTGTTTGTCGTCGCCTTTACTTGTGGTTTACATTGTGTATAAAAACTTCGTAATATTTAAAAATTTTTGTTTTTAACTTTTAATTTCATAGGCAACATAAGTCAGTGTGTGTTGGCACGCCTACATATTTTTAATATACATATAAATACAGACATATTGAATTATTTGCTTTTACGGTCCGACCCATATATTACTGGGCAGAGAAATATTGAAAAAAGGACAATTTAAAATTATTTCCTTCAGTTAATAGCTTGCTTGATGAGACATCCTAAAATTTTTGTATAATTTTGAAGTTACAGCCATTGTAAATTTTTTTAGTTTTTAAATGGCTCATAAATTGTTATTGTTTAATTATTTGTTAAATTTTATTATTTGGGGTTCATTGGTTGGCGGATTTTTTCAACTACAAACACTATTTACGAAGCTTGGTAAAACTTTCAGCACTCTTATGCCATTAAAAGCATTTTTGGCCGCGCTTCCATACAAGCGGAACCACAGTGCAGTGCTAGCCACAAATATCGGCAAGTGAAGTTCGCAGTAAGTGCACTTGCATTTGGCTTAAATTTGTTGCGTGTTTGACCTACAACCTAAATTTACTACAGGTATTAGAAATTTCTGGTGGAAACCGCAGTCAGTATTGCCGCAAGTTGCCGCCGAAGGCGCAACATATTGATTCGGCCAATTAACTGGAGGATTTACCGCCACACAAAAGCCAAAAAAATATCAAGTTACGTGGCACAATCGCTAGGAATGGTTTGCATTACCCTTTTGGTTGCCACATCTGTAATTAATTGAATTGAAATCGCTAGGTTGTGCCGCGGGAGATGATTTGGAGTGATCAGTAACCAGCAATAACCTTATCTACGAGGCAAATATGTGATATTCGAAGTGTAGACCTTGCAGAGCGACCTGAAGACCACAGGGCAGTTTAATTCAACGACATAACCTGGCCCGATGTCCAACGCGCCGCGCATCCGTACAATAGCTAAGTTTCGAGGAATGCGCGCATCCATCTGTGAGGCTGCCGAGGGACAAATAAATCTAGAAAATCCCGGAGTTTAAACCCATTTCTTTGTCAAAGCGCCGCGTGTGTAAACGGTCCTAACCTAGCTTTGCATATCGACCGGTAGGGCTTAACCTCAATGCCTGTAAAACCTAGCCTCGTGATCAATCAGTTTCATCTGTCTACGTACAAGTATAGGGCTAATTTAATCTCAACCAAGCATGATTTAAAAGATCAAAGAGCTTTTGTTTGAAGAAAACCAACGCGTGTCATAAAACCCAAAAAAACAAAGAAAATTAATATGAAAAGAAATGCCATGAAATCCAAGACATTTAAATCGTAATAAGTTTTCGGACTGCCAGGAGGCTACGTCATGTTGAGAGTCAATTATATAAAGTAAATTTAAATAAGAAGTTAATCGAGTCTAAAGTAAAAAGAAAAGCCAAGAAGCGGTATTAATTTAAGAAGCGCTAAGTTTTTGTATGTTTAAGCGAAAATATGTTACTTTCTTTTTAAATTAATCGAGAAAATGCGTTGAAATCGGTACTGGTTAGGGAAATTTATTCGAACCGTTCGCGTATCCCAGAGAAATGAGTGAAAAGTATAATTTTGGTTTAAAAATCCCCCATAGCGAGAAATATCGCCTTTATTTAGATTACAGCCAACTCATCCCGTCCGGAGATCGATCTTCAACGTCGGAGGAAATGCCGTGAGTCACACCTAATAAACCCTTTCATTATGCCTTTATATTTTTATACAAATTTCTCGCCGATTCGTGAAGTGAACAAAAGTCATACAAACATAGCCACTCCGATCTTTAAAAGTATAAAATTAAATAAATTCTTTATAAATTGATTAACACGAAATGTAGATAAAATCGGATGTGAAAGCAAATTTCTGAATGAAGCTAACTTAAATTACAGTCGCCGATTGTTGACTCTTAAAGTCTATATTGTTTTAAATTTGAATTAAAATTTTTTTTTAAGAATGTCTCTCAAAGAAAACCTGAGACTAAATAACATACTGAATTCCTAGAACTAATACAAAACTATTTCTTTAACAATACCTAAAGCAAATGAAAAACTATTTCTTTATGATAAAATTAATATCGATTAAATTCAATATATATTATTATTATTATATTATCTTTTATTATATATATCATTATGAATATTACCTCGCTCTACTTTATCATCTGTATAAATATACTTCTTTTGTAATAATTACTTATCGCTATCCAAAGAAAATTAATTAATAGGGTAAAATTAAATAAAACCATGTATATCTGAACAACTTGAACTGAACTGGGTGTGGTTATAAGCAGCATCTTTAACTTTGGTTTCGGCGATGATATAAATAATAGAAATTTCTTACCAAACGCATTATAATTCATATAAGCCGAATGTTTATTCGTGAAAGTGCAGAAGAGTTCTGTATATTTTAGTTATCTAACTATATACACTGCTGTAGGAGTAATTTATTAGTTTGGCCTTAAGCTTCTTTGATTTGTATAGTGTCAATCTATTCACAGTGTATGTTGCAGAGTTTCACGGATTTTGTAAAGAATCCTGTTGGAATCCATTGTAAATCGCCCATCGAATGACCATTGTTGAGTCGAGTCCAGCGTATGCAGGCAATTTCTCTTTCATTCTTCCATCAATCAGGTCTGTGAAGCACAATTTGTTGGCCAATCAGTCCCCCGTCAAAAATACCTACCCACTCGTTGAAAAATGTGTTGAAAAATTTTAAGCGCAAAATTCCGCTGCTAGGTGGCTGATATAATGTTTTTGGCCGCAGTACGCCATCGGCATCTGGCACTGACAGTGATGCACTGTCCATGAAGTCTGCGGAAAAGTCCTGGCCCAAATTCTGCACCTAATGGCGGGGGCGCATTCATATTTATTAACTTGGCCAGCACGAAGACCCTGACCCAAAGCGTATGCGGCGAGTCAGCAACTAAAACTGACCCTGCTGACAAATCTCACTTCAATCAACGGGGCGGGACCGTGGGGCCACGGAATTGGGAGGAAATGCGGAACGGGTATCAATCAATAGCCATTGATTCGAGCCAGTGGGCGGGACTTGGTCTCGTTGGCGCCAATTAAGTGCCCATAAAAAACGAGCTCGAGCGCTGCCAGTTTGCCGCTTGTTGCCCGATTGTCTCAACAGCCAGTGCACGTGTGTGTGCTGTGCGGGCATTCGTGTTTTTCCTCTTTTCCTCAAAGTGTGGGGTCTCCAAGTGGCCGTTAGGGGAATTCAAGCCTCGCAGCCTCAGAGGAGACGGTTCCAGCTGCCGATTCTCCTAGCTTTAAAGCGCCTTCGCTTTAAGTGTTTGGTATTTACTTTAATAAACAAAATTATTGAATAAATTCAAATTAAATAAAATGTATGGTTTTGTTCGTTTTTATCCTTTATTTAAAAAACTTTCAGCAAAAATAAGCTCCCGAGTATTTTCAAAATCTGACTTCCAACTATTGTTTTCGGATTTTGCGCAAGTAAAAAAGTAAGGAATTCACGTCGATTGGACCAACACTGCGCACTTAAAATGTACTTTACATTGAACGCAGCACTCAGATAAAAATAAAAAGCACTGGGCAACAAATATTCAAAAATATACAACAATATGAACTTTTTGTGGTATAATTAAAATCTCAAAAGCCATTATTCTTACAAATGTTTCTATCAAAGAAATCATCTCTGGGAACACCCCCAGATTAACAGTAGCATCGCTCCCCTGGCAGTGTAGTGCAAAATGTTTGCCCAAGGAGCCAGCCACTCTCAAGTACTTCACATGCCCCATGATTCTGTGGGATGGGGGGATGGGGAGGTAGGGGGCAAGTGGGGGAAGGGAGAAAGGAGAAAGGCGAGATAGTGCCGGAGAAGTGTGTCAACTCAACCCACGGCAGTCAACATAGGGCTCATGTTCTGTAGTGTTGCGTACTTTTTGGCGCCTCAAATGTTTGCTCGGTTTTGGGCGGGGGCGTGGCCAGTCAAGTTGAACAGGGCAACATGCACCAGCATTAAAGCTACTTTGCATTTCTGTTGCACATTTTCGCCCCGAGCTGCGGCAGCCAGGCCAAAACCCAAATGTAATTAGCAAATGGAAGTGGCAGTTGGTTCCTCGAAAACCAAAATAAATGTACCATTCGCAAACATTGTAGGGTAACCTGGCATTTTTATTAATTAAATTTACTGCCATTGCAGCATAGGGAGTTACGCTTATCGGTTATCTATAATACTCTTCGACTCTATTTTACCATGAGATCTTAAAACATTGAATATTTGTGGGACAAAGTACCACAATAAAGTAAAAGTTCATAAAGCTCTAAATTCTTCTTAACTCCTGCTGAACATAATTATAATAGTCTCTGAACACCAAAAGCAATACTTAAATTTCGTCTTTACAAATTAATATTCACATTTGTAAGGGCCGGAAACAATAATACTTATGAGTTTTAATAATGACAAATATTTAAGAGCTAGTCTAATAACAAAAAGAATACAATAATAAAAGTGACCATTAACTTAATTGAACAATGCAGAGGACGTCTTCACCCATTTCTTTGTTAAATCCCCTTTTTATTTTGAGATCAAACTAAGGTGAGGCCATTTCAATGATGTACATTTATTTTTAGACTCAGACTTAAGCCTGCCCCCAGGGTCCTGAGTCTCCTCCCAGGCACATTGACCTTTTCCGCAAACAGGAGAAAGCTCGTCCTACTCGGTTTGTGGTGAGAGGAAAATAGGCAGGAAATGGACAGAAACAGGACGGAGCTGGTCAACAGTTGCCCTTGGGCAGCTAAAGACGTAATTCGCAAATTGACTGACAATCATGGGGCGTTACGGGGCATGAAGCACCTACCGGTGCTCTCGAGCGGTTTGCATTTTGATTGGGTCGAACTCAAATTCTGCCTAAGCAGATTTGACAGTTTGTTAGGTCGCTCCGGGCGGATAGCTTTCCCCCAGGTTACTGCGATACTCGTTATCTTCCCATCCGTGAGCTCGTTTTTATGCCTGTAATTTCCAGCTTTTTTTATTTTTCGCACTGCCTTTACCGCATTTGTCTTACTTCTACTGTTTCATTCGGAATTGCACACTTTATGGCTGGCTCTAAAAAAAAAAGGGGACGAACTCGCTTATTACTTTAAGTAGCTTCTAAGCCAACAAAAACGAGTGAATGGAGGGCTAGACAACAAAGAAGCTGCCAAGGAAAATCAGGGAAAGCGGGGAGCACAAGGCAGAGAACATTTAAAGTCGCCGCAAAGTCGGGCTGAAAAGCAGCCCAAAAACGTGCCACGGACTTAACATTTTTATAGGAGAGAGTGCTCTGCATAAAGGTATGTTACTCTCTTACATTTCCTCTGTTACCCGGTAATTTCTGTAACTCTACAGCAATAAATAATAAACAAATATTGGGGAAAACAAATTCAAATTCATTCAATAGATCTAAAATGTTTAAAGTTGGATAAATTTATTATAAAATTGTTGAGGTTCAATAATTGTTTTTGAGGGGTTGAATTTAACAGAGCACAACGGTTCTGTAAGTTAACATTAGCGAAGACAACCACCGCTTGAATGTCGCTAGCTCGCATGCGATAATGCTTATTACAAGGACATGCAAACTTTAAACACTTACCAATTGCTTATTAACATTTAAGGCTCATTTTAATAGTTAATTATAACTATAACTTTTTCTACATGAGTTTTTTGTAAATATATTATTACCAAAACATTTTGATTTTGTAAAGGGTATGAAAAATACTACATCAGATAGAGGTAATAATAATATGTTATTATGTTATCAGAAACCTGTAGAAAATGTAATGCATTGCATTTTCTTCTCGTTTTTGAAAATATAATATCATATTATTACCTCCTAATCTCGTTTGCCACTTGGCTCAAGGCAACTACAATTTGGAGCCATCAGCAAGGGGAGGGAATATTCAAAACGCCGGTCCCAAAATGTAATTTCCTCCTACATAATAATTATAAATATTATTCCAATTTTTCAAGACCCCGCCCCGCTGTCGAGCGGCTCTCGAGGAAAAGTTATCCACTCATCTCGCATGTCTAACGAGCATAAACGAGCCACCAACTCACGCAGACAAGGCCAAGGCAAATGGCTAATGCGTGTGGCAGAGTGGCGGTGTGGCAGAAGGGCGCATTTGGGTGCACGGGGCGTATGGATATGGATTCGCATGTGGGCGGGGTTCAACCCATCAGCAGACAGCTGTTGCTGGCAGCCAAACACCGAATCTGGGGAGTCATTCGGGCGGCTGATTGCGCCATCTTCTGGTTTATATTTTTACGGTATTTTAATTTAATGCCTGTTGACATTTGGTTACACCGCCAGGACAACAATGTCCTGGTCCGCACCTTGCTCCCGCCCCAATTACAAAACTTCCAGGCTGTGAGGTTGCCTTGACAGTTGTTGCGCTACATTTACTCGCAGATAAATTGTTAGGTTTCCTTCTCCCAGCGCCCATTTCCAGCTGATGGGACACTTGTGGTTGAGTGGTTCAGTGGTTCGGTGGCTGGTGCCTCCCAAGAACCCTACACTTAATAATATTTTTCGTATGCATGACAACGACTGTAAATTGAGTTGCGCAAGTCGAGGAGGTAGGAGTTTGCTCATTAGTCCAATTTTTTGGGCAGACACGTAAATTGTTTTGAAATAGGAGGCAACCAAATGGAAACATTTGTCAAGAC